TGGTGGGACAGGAGCATCTCAAACCACAAGGGTTTCCTCAGGGATGAGAGATCAGGTAGCAGTGTAACCTCTCCACTGACAGTCATGACCAAGCTCAGCTTGCCAGCCCTATTAGGATAACTTCATCACTAATACAAGGAGGGATTCATAACACATTGTGTTGCACTTACACCAACACAATCCTGACTAAGCAGCTCAACACTGAAACTAGCAAGAAAAAAAAAAGTTTACTATCTAACTCCAAGTTAATGAACTATCTAGGTAAGGGCCCAGTAAGAGAACTTGTAATTATCAAGGGTCCAGTTAACTTAAACCGTGGCGTGGGTTTAATTGTGACTTAAGTACTACAGAAGTATCTCATCTACAATTACCTATGTGCTTTAAATGTTTACATGGGGACTCCAAAGAGAAAGCAAACACAAAGCAACAGTTTAAGCTGCCAGGGGACTACGGTACCTGCAGAGCTGGAACTTGGATCTGTAGCTGAACTCCAACAGTCCATTTACACGTTGAGTTTTTAAGATAAAAAGATGGTAAATCAAAAATAATTACAATTCCAACTGCCAGTTTCCTCAGCTTTAGAACTCAAATCACAGGTTTGATAAGGTTTCCGTAATTTCAAAGAAAAATAGTAAGACTTACTGTACAAAAGGTGACCTCAAAGCAAATGTGATTGAGAAGAAAAAAAAAATAGCCTTTCATGGTATCCTTGAAACAAAAAGGTCCTGGGTGGGCAGCTGAGGAGATAGCAGGATTTTTAACAAGTCCGCACTGATGCGCCTGGGAATCTTTCAGCCTTTCCAGCAATCTATATGTACTAAACAGCTCTTATAAACTGAAACAATGCCCACTGAAACAAAGGCTGGGGGACATGAATAGAGAGCCTTCTTTATTCTTTCATTTGCAGCCATCAATTTTATCCGGAAACAAAAGACTGTACTCTGTTCTCCAAAAACAGCCCTTTGTAAAGATTGTTTGAGAATAAAAACACAAGGGAAGGAAGAATTCAAATTTTCAGCAATTCTTAATCGCCCTATGTTAAGCGTTTTGAATTAAGTAGAAGTTGTAGCTTCAGACACACTGGGTCATATCAAGTTCAGCCTAAGAGTACTGCAAGACTTAAACCATTTTAACTCTAAGCAAAGGAGGATGCTGAAATATTTTTATCCCCTTATCTGGGGCAAAAGGGGAAAGCTAGTGAAGATTATGGGGCACGTTATTGTAATTTACAGGATTTTGTGTGATTAGTACAATTCCCAAGACTATTTCAAACATAAGATAATATTACTTGCACACTCATCTACAGAAGGACACTACTTAAAAAACTATCTTTTAAGATGGAAAGCAATTACCTTAGCTTGTACCCATATAAAACCTACTTAATGGAGTTACAAAGCTTTGAACAAGCTCAGCACTTGGAATATCTTCCTCTCAAGTACTAACAGACTTTGCTAAAGCAAAATAGGGTTTCTACTGAAAAACTATTCTTTCCTGATCCTTTATGGTTTATTTAGTAATTCTGAACTGCAAAATGAGTAAAAAGCATTACTATCTCCAGATGCTAAAGAGCTAACACCTAGTCAAAAGTGGTGTCAGATCATGCATATGAACTCAGTACTGCGGATCTCAGATTAAATGCAATAGGCAAACTGCAATTACGAAGCAAAATGATGTAAATTAGAAGTCCTCTGTCAAAGTTATTATTCAATCAATTAAAAGAATTGGCCATTTCGATATACTTACAGCAGTTAAGCCTGCAGTTTTCATACCCTGCTTCTCAGTTACTTTAGTTTCGTATCTAGATATTTGAGTACCTAGAAACCTGTGGTTTAATTTTGAGGTTGTATTCCAGCTCAACTTAAAAAAAACAACCAAACAACAACCTGTTGACAATCTCAAATTCGTAATTCTAAATTCGTGTTTATATCTTTTTCTAAACACTACTAGTAAGTGTCTTCCAACAATATAGGCTTCACACTTGTGAAAAGATTCTAAATTATAAAACAAGAATAAAGCCAGTCAGGATTGCTTTGCTAGTGTTGACAGTTCTGGACTAATACCTCTTTCCAACTTCCATACATACAATTCTGTAAAGAAACATCTATTTAAAATGCAAGCTCACCACACAAAACTATAGAAGCAATTTTGTATCACAACACGCATCCTAAATTTGCAGAATTGGGCTCTTAAACACAGCTTTCAAACAGGGCTGATATTGTTCTCTCTGCATACGCCATACACCACCGGAGTTCACTAGTAGCCATTAATCTGAAATATCAAAGTCTCTGTTTTTCCACTGTTTGCATCTGCATGTACTACAACATTAGATTTCTTAATATTGATTGTACCAAAATGCAAGGGAAGTTGTTTTTGAACGACTGCTTTCTTTTATGCTCAGTGTAGCTTACTCCTATAGGAAAATAAACCTAGGTAGTAAAGTGAGAAACAGAGGGGTATGCATCAGAGAAAACATCATACTATACAGTTATAATTGGACACAGTACAGCTGCTAGTTGCCAAATCCAGCCAATTCACAGGGCATTATTGTGCGAAGCTCAAAACAACGTCTGACATAATTATATGTATGACAGAGCAGGAAGGGGGTATTTGAGCTCTCCCTCCTTAATAACCAACATTAATTTGCAACTGTGACAGTAATATTCAACTTAAGCACAGATCACAGAAACATTTGTGACTGTGTTTAAAGACTGGGTGTTTCCTCATTAATTTAAAGGCCAAGATGGTACCCAATACTCATTCACAACTTCAGTAACTCTAGCAATCATTCTATCCATTTTTGGTTTTGCGTACATACATCATCTGACACAGCGGAATATGTTATACAAAGTGGGTCTTATTTTTTGACGAGTTTCTACTTACTACCATAAGGCATACGAAAGATACTCTGCAGGATGGTAGACACATCTCCGAAATCCTTTAGATGCTAAACTTGAAAACATTCAGCAACTCCTTCTTGATGTCTGACTTGCTGCAAAGAGCAGCTGCAATCATTTGTACCCTCACGGTACTCAGTACTCCAGCGAATGTAGTCAAGTACAGTTTGTTTTCAACCATAGATTGCAACTGGAGAAAAAGTAAAGTGCCTTTCGTTCAAATTGTTCTGGAAGCCAAAAGCTTCCAAAGTGGGTGCCAGGCTACGTCCTCCCAGAGGTCATTCAGTTACACCAGAAAGGGCTTTCGTTATGCCATCTTCACTTCTGATTAGTGCTCTATTTCACGAGCCAGGAGATTTTAGATCAGAAAACCCAGCTTCTTAAACCAACGCTTAAAGCTCTCAAACACTTTCCCAAAATAACAGGATCTGCAACTTTTATGCTACCATCTGGTTTAAAATGAGATGCCTTAAACCACTACTGGTTACCACAGGTTACCTGTAGCTTTAGAAATTAGAAAGTCTCACAGACTGTGTTCATAGCCTATTCTGTTAACCCCAACTGAGAGACTGTGTTCATTTGCTTTATTAAACACGGAGACATTTATTTGGTATACCCCACGTAGCACAAAGCCATAACCCAATCTGGACTTTCCCCTTCCCCCAACTAGGAGAACATGGAGCGCTGCATCTTCCAAGACGTGTGCTTCTCCAGACAAGCCACGGTTCCTATCAGAGAAGAACGTCTTAAAATTTCAACTGCAATAACAGAGCCAAGTGGAATTTCTGTAAGTCACATTTTTTAATTAAAAAAACCAAAAACAAACCCAAACCAGCCCTGTGTTTGACTATATATACTCATTTATTTAAGAGAGGAAACCTCCTCTCTCTGGTTTGATAATAGCCATTGCATGGCTCACACTGAACATCTCTGCTCACGAAAACTGCTGCTAATGCTTACAGGAGGACGCTGCGTTTTCCCAACCTTGCGGGGGGGGGGGAAACCTTGCAAGGCTTATCTGGAAGAACTCTTTTGGGGGATCACAAAATTTCAGCTATGTCTTCAGCTGCTGGGTGATAATTATATGCTAATTATAAGGAATGGAGGAGTTCCTAGAGGAGTCTGTTGGTAAAAATATATTTTTAAATATGTCAAGGAGTGCCTAGAGCAGAGGATAAACGCGCCTTTTGGAAACATGATATTTAATTAAATACACGAATACTGACTAAAACCAAATAGTTTAAGTGAAATGTTGAAAAGATTTGGCAGCAATATACCTTCCATCTTGGAAGCTGCTGATCCCATATCTGTTTTCATAAGCCATTTAAAAATAGAAAGCCTAATTTCCCCTTTTTATTCAGACGGAGCTCCCATGATCTTTCAGTGAGAACGGCAGGATCAAATGAAATGATGAGTAACACAGATTTGGCTATACACCTCTCAAGGTGAACGGCAGCACGGCCCGACACCCAGGTGAAAAAGGTCCCTCTCAGATCACCCACAAACTACAAACGCACATTGGCAAAATACAAATCCTCCCTAAACTCATCCTGCAATAACGTACACCACCTTTTTTCCTCTAAAGACTCACCTCTACATATGCCAATATTAACTCGGCCAACCAGCGAGTCTCGGTTCAGTGGTATATGAGAAGTGCTATCATAATTACCACTGCTATTGCAAAAGACATTAAGTATTCCTTCTGCTTTCATCACTCTCCACCCCTGATATGTCTCATTGCATCTTATGCACAACTAGTGCCACCGGGTTAGTGGAAATACGCAGGCAATATTCAGTAAGGACACTATGGGTTCCTCCTATGCTTTATAACAAAAAGCAATTTAAAATAAAAACGTCAGGGAACATTAGAGGTTGCATAGCCTTTGGGGACCAGACTCGTGTTTTGTATGTGTACATTGTTTGAAATAAATTAAATTCTCACCCTAACGGAAGCACTGGTGAACTACTGAAACTATTACAAGTTTTCTAAACTTTTTTTGTTAACCTAAAAAGCATTTACAAAAACAGTGAGAGACAGAAACAGAGTTTAACTGATAAATGATCCTCTTACTCATGCAAGAAAAGCCATTCAACAATTCCTGCTCCTTACCACATGACAAAGTCCCTTACACAAGACTGTCTGTATTGAGTAAAAATAACTTTACTCACAACTTCCTCAAGCTATTTTTAAATATACACATGCACTTCTGTCACAACTAAATTGTCTTATGTGCTACAGTGTTCAGTTATTAAAAACAACTAATAAATGAAATTATTGACATAAAAGCGTCACTGAAACTAATTAAGATGGGACATGACAGGACTCTTCCAGTGACGTTTATGGGAGTTCCTCCAATTTCTGGGAGCAGAAAGAAAAACAATAAACGGGAAGTTTTTGAATTACACATTCTTGACTAAATGTAGTTCAAAAATATGATCATTTTGGGCAATATTTTAAAAACTGGTGTCATAAAAACTATACATTCATCTTTCTAGCACATGAAGCTGCATGCCCGGGTAGTAATACTACCCACAAAGAGAGAGAGCAGTAGAAGGCTTTCTAAAAAACACATAACATTTTTTAAAAATACATAAATTGACAATACAAGAGAATATATATCTTCTGTTACATCAGCAGCATATATATTTCTGTGCTTGCTACAATATTTGCTCAGATAATCAGAACTTGTTTAATATACAAAATTATCTCCTGTTTTGTCAGCCAATGATTTAAATTCCAAAAATTCATTGTCGATTTACACAACCTTATCTGTCCTATAACAGATTTAAAAAGTAGCTTTAAAAAAAAGTATTTTCACAAAATAAATATTTAAATAGTATATCCAGTTTAATATCCAAAGAGATACTTCTGATTTTTTTTTCTTCAGTTCTGCCATTATCTGAATTTTGAGGAAGTGTCAGTGGTATCACTATCACCTAGATCAGATATACAAGGATTAGAGAGCTCTTCGCTGTAATATTATGCCACATTCAACTTTTGCTTTGTCTTCAGAGAATCTATCTGAAAACCAGAACAGAAAGATCTACATTCAAAAAGGTAGAGCCACTCACATAACTATCCTGTTCTGGGGCTTATGAAACGCGTTATAAAATGCATTCAATTTACTCTGAAAGGAGTTAATGATGTTGGAGTCCGGTTTGTTAAAAAGAGACACCCTGAAACTCATTTTTGTGCTTATACAATCATGTATTTACTACACTACTTAAAAGAGTCTGATTTTAAAAAATAATAACCTAAGACATGGATGTATTATGAAAGACAGAAGGCGCACCCACAAAAGCAGATCTCACTGCCACTTCTACACAAAACTGCGTTAATATGCCTCACCCCAGTTCTGCCAGCGACTACTGCTGGGGGTGATTACGAGAGGGGCACAGTTGGCAAGAAATGCCATCGCCGGATTCTCAGCAGAGGCAGCTTAACAGGAGTGTCATTTAGGGTAGTAGCTTTATCACCTGGATACATTCCCTAAGACCTGGAATAAGACCAACACTGCCTGCAGAGAGTAATAACTTACGTCCTCTATCATCGTAATTTGAATTCAAACCATTCACCTAGGCACGAAAGGCTCCAAAACTGCATTATTGTTTACTTGTTTCTGATTTAGAAATGGATAATATCCACGGAGTGATCCAAGCACCTTATACATTAAAAAAAAAAAAATCCCTTTTTGAGTACTTAATTTCTACTCTCCTTTCCAGCTCATTTCTAACTAACAGTAGTTTTATTCCTGGAAATGTAACTCTCACGATAGTTTTCCCATTGCTTCTTCAATCCTGTTGTTATCCTAGTTCCAAAAACTGCAACTGTTGTTTTGGCCAGAAAAGCAAGCCTCGCTCCTTTTATCCTCTCTTCTGTCAGGTTTTTCACATAATACTTCCAGACTCATACTGATCTGTTAACCAGCAAAATAAAGTGCAGTTTTCATTCTCTTACATCTCATGCAGGTTATACATTGCCAAAAATCTAAAGCCCTGTTTCCTGAACACAAACAGCACCCACAGATCTGCCTTAAAACATGCTTCCAGTTATGATCTTTCAAGTAATTCCATAATGACAGCTTTTCTACATCACTGACCAATAATGAGGTGATCGATAACTCCAGAAAATGAAGGTAGATAGGTCTTGTGTTGCAGAGAGGAAAAAAGTAAGTAGAAAGGTTCAACATTTCAAAAGATGCTAATACAGATAACCTGCTACAAACTAGAAGTAGTAGGTATGATGACAGGGGAAAAAAAAAAAAAACAAGTTAGCATTGCATCTAGCTTGTGAGGGTTCTTTGCAGTATGCATGAAAGAAGAAGGGGGAAAAAAAAGCTTTTAAAATGAAAGTGTTGTACAGACACAGGTCTATAAATCTGATTTCATACCCAAGTTCCAATTTTGTTACACACTATTAAAAATCAACCCTAACCTGATTTAATGGATACCCAAACAAGGGGGAAATTGGATTCCCCAACCGTAACGTGCCAGTGACACTGAGTGATACATAAAAGCAATACGGCTAGTTCCTGTCCTTAATGCATAGCTTGTGCTTTAATTTCAAACCTGCCCTGGGTAGAAAAAAAGAAAGATGAAATAAAAGCTTAGTGCAGAATTTGTGCTTTAAAGATTTATTGAGCTAGGAAGACTAAACAGAACTGAAAGCGCATACAATAAACAGCACATAAGGACTCGCGGGGGGGGGAAAAAAAAAAAAAGGAAAAGCTGTATGTACAGATCTGCCGAGATACTAGGATCTAGAGGAGAAAAAAAAAAAGGCAAAAAACAAACCCAACAAAAAAATCAACCAGTACAAAAACAACAACAACAACACACTCGAAATCCAACACAACACAACAACAGTCTGTAAGTGGCATATCACAAGTTTCTGAACAGGGTGGCTGCTTTCACATGGAAGACGCTCATGCCCAGCCGGACACTCCAGTGTCACGCCAGCCAGCCAACCCCGTGTCCTCTTAAGACTCAAGGGAAAAATCCCTGCTGCCGTGGAGCAGCGTTTCAGCACCTCGCTCGCCTGGTGCAAGTCATCAGCCCCCGAGAGTGGCTTAGAAACTGCGGGGAAGGGCTCAGCCGCCCGGGGACCCCGTGAGGGGACGGGGGTGTCAGAGAGAGGGGGAAGAGGAGACGGGAGGACGAGCGGGCTCCTCCTGCCCCCGCTGCGGCGGAGGC